GTCCTCATTTGACCCACCAGGGAAGGATGGAAGGCAGAGTCAACCTTAAGCCATCTGGATCGAACTCCTGGCAGTGGGCAGAGTTAGCCTGAAATTCAACGTCATTCGCTCTGATCAGTTTGGACTCTGAAAGCTCTAGAGTGAATTTGTTCTCCGTTTGGTTTTGGAAAGACTAATTGGGACTTTAGTCATTGGTAGCACTTCAAGTCAGATTAGGTGTGTTCTTATCAGACATCTCTTGAAGAACCTTGGCAGACGTCCATGGGACGAATTATAACTGGTTAAGATTCATTCCGGGTTGTGAATGATGATAATTCACAGCCATTGAACTAAAAGAAAGGAGTTTTGGATTTTTATGTGTGTTTGTTGGTATCTCAGGAAGCCTTGGTCAGAACAGTCACGGGCTAATCCTTTCAACCCAGAAGGACCTCGGTGCTTCTGACACAAGTGCCTGCATGCATTGACCACCTCACCTGCTGGCTTTGTGGACTGAAGCCAGGGTCTCAGCTGAGTTGAGTCTGGAAAGATTCCATGCATTTGTGTTGCGTGCTTTTTCACCCTGAACCTTTATATTAATTAAAGACCCAACTGGTTGCAAACTTACAGATTCTGTCTGCCCGTAGCCTTCCCTGATATCGAACCCAGTTTCTGCCTTCCACTCTTTGAGCACGTCTAGGTTAAATGGTTCTCCGCCACCCAAGCAGGTGCGCAGACTCTTGAACGTATACCTGAATGAAGAGAAGGAGAAAGCAATGTTCTTTGGAGAAGGGATCTTCAAGGAGTCTCCAAAATATGAAGAAAGGATTGCTTGGATTGATTACAGACAGTCCTCGACTTACAGCAGTTCATTGTGACCGTTTGAAGGGCATTGGAAAAAGAGACTTACGACCATTTTCCACACTTACAACTGTTGCAGCATGTGGTCAAAATTCACACGCTTGGCAACGGACTCGTATTTATGACAGTGGCAGTGTCCCGGAGCCTCTTTTACGACCTTCTTACCAGTAAAATCAATGGGGATTCACTTCACGGTCATGTTACTAATTTAACAATTGCAGTGATTCACTTAACAAATGGTGTCATGGAAGGTTGTGAAATGGGACAAAATTCACTGAACAAAGGTCTCCCTTAGCAACAGAAATGTTGGGCTCCATTGGGATCGTAAGTCAAGAACTATTCTTACATGCCATTAAGTTGATGTCATTTCTTAGCAACACCATAGATCAGAAATGGGAAAAGATGGCCGCTCTATGACTTGTGGACTCCAATTCCCAGAATTCCTCAGTCAGGCATGCTCTGGGATTTGAAGTCCACGTGTCACACCCCTGTCAGAGTCTGAATCCGAGGAGGAAGCTGAGCAGCTGACAGGGAGTGGGAGTGTGGCTCTGTTGGCTGTGCAGGAGACTGGGGAAGGGCAAAGTCCGGCTGGGCAGAGCAGGGAAGAGGTAGAACAAGGGAGAGGGAGTTCAGAGGAAGACCCAGGCCCACCCCCTCTTCATCCTAGGGCCTGCAGGAAGAAGAGAGCAATGTGATTACAGGGGGAGGAAAAGGCCCTGATTCCCTTCATTAGCCACAGCTAGGAAGACAGTTGATAAGAAAGGCAGGCTGCATGTGGCAGGCTCCTGGGAGCAAATGTGACTTTATCCTTGTCTGTGTTCCTGGCGTCTTCCCAACTGTGTGAGTTTTGCCGTGCCTTCAAGTCTGACATTCTTGCTCCTGCTCTTCCAAACTAACTACTTCAGTTTGGCTTGTTTGGACTTTAAGTTACAGTTTGTGTTGCTCATGTTTTGGACTTAATTTTCTGCAGTCAAAGGCTGTTCCTGGGAGAGTTTTTCTCCAGCCAAAAGGTAACCAGGACATTGGGGGCAAAGTTGGAGATAATGAAGGGATTCTTATTGCTTATCTGACTGTGTTGCCTTTGTGCCACGCCCCTTTGGGTCATCACACCACAAGTCATAGAGGAGCCATTGTTCCCCACCTCTGACATAGATAGATCTTCTCTGGGATAATTTGTCCCCATCCCAGTCCTTCACATCTTCCAAAAGTGATACAGAATTACACAAGAGCTAAAGCACCACAAAATGGCGTCCTTCTTATGTAAATGAGTTGTACCTGCTAGGGTTGTGTTGGAGCAGCATCCGAAATATGGTTGGTGTGCCACAAAAGGTTGTCACTGGATACTTGGCAAGAGACTGAGTAAAAGGGAGGAAGCCACATTTAATACCATTGAGTGAGATTTGGTAGTTGGCATAGAGACATGTTAATTGAGTAATGCATAAACAAATAACCAACCCTTGTAGGGTTCCCTTATAACTCTATTTTAGGTACTAATGTACAGTGTGCTTGTTTATAAAATCTATAGGCCATTCAAACTTTTTTACTACCAGTTCTGAGTGCATAGCTTTGTGAGCGTGACAGGGGAAGGATACTATAAAATTTTCATTCCCACCTCACCGCAGGTGAAGGTTACTGCAAAATCCCATTCCCTCCCCACCCCACTAACCTGCTTTCCAGCTCCGTTCTCCTGTGCAGGGCAACCAAAGAAGACCCAGCCAATCAGCTGGGACTCAGGAGGCCGAGAATGGATGGGGGCGGGGCCAGTCAGAGGTGGGATTTGACGGTTCTCCGAACTATTCAAAATTTTCGCTACCGGTTCTCCAGAACCGGTCAGAACCTGCTGAATACCACTTCTGGGCCACCCATCTTACCTCAAGGTAATTCTGGTGGCTTACAATCACAAAAGATACAAACTATATAAACTACAAACATAAATAAGTTAATAATTCTGGGAGAACTACAACCTGGATGATTGAAAATCTCCACGAACAGGGGAGGTATGGATATAGAGTGGTACTGATTTTTCTCAAGTTCGAATTGTAATGAAGAAAGCAGTAAACTTTTTCAGACAATTTGGGAGGGTTAATCAGCCATTATACATATCTTTGGGGGTGATATCATTGTCTATCTGTACGGGACTTAAGGGCACCTGGGTTCTTACCTCCAGAACTACTTTGGGATCAAACTGGAGAAAACCATGTTGAAATATACACGATCCTTGGCTCCAAGGAGAGTAGAAAGATCCAATGGCAAATTTTATCCAGCCAGGATCAGAAAGACCCCATATAATGTCTGAAGAAGTCAGATCCATCCATTCTCTGTTAATAAAAAAGCCAATAGATATTTTGTGGATGACATTAAAGACTCAAACTATAGCAATAGCACTTAGAATTATATACCACTTCACCGTGCTTTACAGCCCTCTCCAAGTGGTTTACGGAGTCAGCCTCTTGCCCCCAACAATCTGGGTCCTCATTTTACCCACCTTGGAAGGATGGAAAACTGAGTCAACCTTGATTGAACTCCTGGCAGTGGACAGAGTTAGCCTGAAACACTGCATTGTAACCACTCTGCCTTCCTTCCTTCCTTCCTTCCTTCCTTCCGTCCTTCCTTCCTT